GAGATGGCAAAGAAACTATGGGATTTTAGCATGGATTTGACTAAATGATCTACTCAAAACTTAAAACTCTATATAAAGACTTAAGAAAGTGCCATTTGCACTGTGTCATTATAAGATTCATACAACCAACCCTATTTACAGGGATAATGCTTAGTGGTGGTTGTTTGTTGTTGAATAATAGACTCAAAGAATGCTGTAACTTATAATTCAAAAGTTGAACAATATCCTTTCAAGCTGAATAATCTTCTTTTTCTGCTCAAAGCCTTGTCGTTTTGATTCGAGGTTGCTTTTTGTTTGATTTCTAGTATCGAGTTTAGAAATTTCATCGTCGAAACAAAATTATGTTGTTCGTGTGCTTATTGATTGACTGATGACAAATTATGTGAAATCCCGTCCCAAATTATGTATTTTGTCATTTTAACGGAATTATGAAATGACATTTTTGCCCTTTATCCTCCCACCCTATCCGGATTCCCCTTCCCTTTTTTAGATTTTTTTTGTCATTATTTTACAACTCTTCTGCTCTCTCTGCTTGCCACGTGGCACCACCCCCCATCCCTTATATCATTCTCTATTCTCTCCCCCAAGCTCTTTCTCAACTCACTCTCCCTATCTCTCGGACTTATCTCCTTCTCCCTTCCCGGCAACACACACACCCACCCGCACACCCAAAGAACCACGACACCACCACCAACATTGAGTGGACCTTCTCTCTCTCTCCTTCGTCTCTACGAAGCATCGAGACACCTAGAGGCCACCCAAACCTCTCCGGCGAGCCCTATGGCTTTTGAGTCAAAATCTGACCAACTTTGGCCACCTCACGACGTGATATAGGTACGAAACTCTTCCTCTCGTCCTACACTTCAATTTGGTACCTAGATCGCACCCTAGGATTGAGAATCGGATTTGAACAGAGCTAGGGAAGCTCCGTCTTCCTTTTTCGTCGAAACTTGGTCAAACGACCTAAACCCGGCAACCCAAGTCTTTTGGCCCAAACCTTTTAACCCAAAGCCTAAGGGTTTTGGCCCACTGAGCAACCAAACCCAACCCATTAAAATCCTCAAACCCAGTGACTTGAGCCGAGCTTTCAAGTCCAAAGCCTGTTAGAACCCCATCCCAAATCCTTTTGAACCTAGGCCCTTTGGCCGTGTAGAACTTGGGCCTTTGGCCCATTAAACCCTTGGCCCAAACCATTTTGACCTAAGCCCAAAGCTCAGGCCCAAACCCAACAAACCCTAGGACCAAACCTAACTAACCCATACCCCAAGCCGCACGTGAGGGTGTGTATGGGCACGTGAAGGGCTGCCGGTGTTGGCACATAAAGCACACGCGTCGCCGTGGACGGCACCGGTGACTTTTCGGACCAACTTTCCAGCGGCGCATGGCCGCCAGAGTCACCACCTTGCAACAGCACGTGAGGGTACCCGAGATCCCCTTTATGTTTTTCGACGTCTTGAATCCGTTTATGATGTTCGTTTTCTGAAATTCAATTGTTAGTTTTATTAATTGGACCCTTTATGTGCTTAGGTGCGATTATTAGCGGCAATTCCATCATTCCTATTTCGCATGGCTCTTCTGTGACAGAGTATCTGTTAGTGGACCCCTTCTAAAATGCATGATTTTACTATTAGAAATGCATACATGAAAAGCATGATTTAATAGTTACGTTTTATGAAATGTTTATGAGTAAATTGGTTTTACACTTTATGAGATATCATGCTTTACTAAGAATATTTTGGAATACCATACTTTATCGAATTTACACTCTTTGTAGTATATATGATGGATGACTATATACTATGAAGATGTTTTGAGATATGATGTTTGAGCTACTAAACTCCATTGAGATATATACTTATGTTGGAAAGATTATATTCAATGTTTTTGTGCTTATCTAGTGGTCATTATTCTGCCTACGGGCGATGATACTTATATTATCTTCGGTCGGGTGATGTAGTGGCCTACACGTCGGAAGATATTTATTTGGCTTACGAGTCGGGTGAGTAGTGGCTACAGGTCGGAAGATATTCATATATTTGGCCTACTAGTCGGGTGATGTAGTGGCTTCGGTCGATTATAATACAGCTATTTAACACACTATATACGATATATGTTTTACGAAGGTTTTATGGCATGCTAGGGTTTTCAGAAAAACCTATTACATATTATACTATTGAGTTTCCATAAAACTTTGGGGGTTAGTACGTTGTTGAATAACTGTTTCAGTATTATATATATATATATATATATATATATATATATATATCAACTTGGTCCACTCATGTTTGTTTTGCGCCCTCTCAGGACATAGGAACGAGGCATACGATTCAAGCTACGAGACATTCCCCTACCGGTGATACCGCGTCATCCTCTCTGCCTTGACTTCACTTGTAAGAGCACCTTCCACTTGTATTCTGAATTAGATGATTTTTCTGAACATGTCATGCATTATCACTATCATTCTATTGACGGCTGAATACTATTATACTATCATTTTGTTTATACTTTGCACAACTCAAATGATAAACATTGTGAAATATAAAATTACCACATATATCGCATTTAACATATGGTAAAGGCTTCAAACTCGTCAAGTAAAAGTCAGCACCTTCAGTTTCTCTCGCTCTTTTAATTCTTTCCTCTTTCTAGCATATAATCGGTTAAGGAGCCGGATACGTGGATCATCAGTTATGTTTCTCAGAGGTTCCAACTTCTCCTCCTGGATTCAACCATATATACATGAAAAACATGGATGGAAGGAAATAAAAAATAAAACTTCTGATACTAAAAAACCTCTGTGAGGTCATATGGTAAATGAAATGTCTCGCGTATCTCCTCAGGTGTTTTTACTTCAATAATTCAAGCAAGTGCTCGGCTGGTGAGATCAACCAAAGGCTTCAACTGGAGGCTGTCAGCAGCGGACGTCAATTCACATAACTTTTTTGTATCCATTCGAATAAATTTCTCATCAAAAGTTTTGCGCTCATGCACATGATAACTGTTGGAAATTCAAATAAAAACAGGTTGTCAATGGTTAAAGCTAGCTATTAGTTCTTTCCAGGTTGTTCACCTACAACTACAAACATCATTGCTCCCTCCATCTGTCAGCCGAAAGGTGATTACAAGACAGCAGTGTGCTGCCATGTGATAGCTGAACTACTTTTAGAAAAGCTGCATGTGTGTGTGCATCCAAAGGTGGTGCATGTGTGAAAGGGTGTAAAGATGGTAAACACCATCATTCATTGCATGTGTTGTATTTTTTTATTAAAAGCACTTAAGTGGTTCGTCACTTTTTGTATGTATAACTAAGCCTCTTGTAAGGCTTTAGGATATTACATCAGAGCAGTTCCACCGTGGGCAATAGCTCGATGGACTGGCTCTCAAATAGGGCCAGATAGCCCGAGGAAGGTGGTTTAGCGTGTGCTGGCAAGGGAGCCCGAGCATGCCCGAGGGAGAGGCCCGGCAGGAATCGCTCGCCCGAGAGCCTGAGGGCTGTGTGACATATGGTTGGTGTGCGGCATCGGTGCATGCGCCGAGCTTGACATCTCCCCGTCCTCCTTCCCCTCATTTGACCTGGATCTACACACCCAAACCCTCAATCCGAACGAAAAACATCAACTATATAGAATCAATTTCAAAAAATTAAATTAAACTAAATTTTCCAATAAAACTGTAGTTTTAAACCACCGCATATAGGATCAAATTCGATCGGCAACAAATAAATCAAGCAATAAATTTAAAAAAAAGAAAAAGAAGAATCGTCGGATTGAGCTCACTATTCAGGATTCATGGCTGGGACTTAGAACGAGTCGCTAGAAATTGAGGAGAAATTCTAGTCCATATGAGCAGTTGCCGCTATGTGTGATATCTTCGCCAGAGAGACGTAGAGAGAAGGGAAGTGGAAGAGGAAGACAAAGATTGGGGAAGAAGGAGAAATTGAAGAGGGAGGGAATGAAAGCAGAGAAAATGAGAGATGATGATGGTGGAATGACGGAAAAAAAGGTCAAATGAGGGGAAAAAGGGAAAGAGAGATAGAAAGAAACGAGAGAGAGGGAGAGAGACAAAGGAATAACAGGTCAAATTAGGGGGGAAAGGGAAAGGTGATTGGGATGTTTGATGGATTGGGTGAGGAAAAAAATATTAATATTTTATTATCAATTGCCATGGTAATTCAATGTAGGGGTGGAGATGTAAAAGGCAATTACTGTTTATTAAGGGCAGTTACTGTTCATGAGGTGGATTAAATAGTGGATAGCCCTAGGGGGCCTTAGACACGGTGGAACTGCTCTCAGAATCCCATTTCCATTTCAGCTTGTAAGCAATTGAGTTTGTAAACTCTTATTAAATATATTAAAGTGTTTTGTTTGTTTGCCGTGCAGTTTGTCCAACACAAAAGTTTGCTTCTTCATTTACTTCTTTCTTTCCTTGTCCAATTTTATTGAGAGTGATAGTGAGAGGTGTGATAAAGTTAGAAAACTTATCACCCACATATTTTTTGTATTGAGTTAGTAAACTTTGAATACCAACAATAACAATTCTATCAAACACATAAATTACTTCTAACTTCACCATGTACATGATGATGATGGATAAAAGACTATCAAAACCACCCTTTTTCGGCCACATAAAGGGTAGCAATATTTTCTCCAAGTTTTCTACACACTACAAGAAAAAGGCCTTTTTGCGACACGTTTTTTGCGTCAAATTACACTATCGTCGCAAATAAAAGGAAATTAGCGCGGTATTTGTTAGCGCGAAAATATTTGCGACACCACTATAAGTAACGTCGCTAATAATGTCGCAAATAGAAATATATGTCGTCTTAAACATATTGTTTGCGACGCCCCTAACGACGGATAGAGTTTGAGCGGGAACAAATTGGGCGCTTAGGGTATGAGCGCGCGCGCTCCTTTTTTCTTTTTCCCAACGCAGCCTTAGTGCTCTCCCTCAACCGTTTCCGTTTCCTTTTCCTTTTCTCTCAAAGATTCAATCGAAAATTATGGAGTTGTATCAGAGTTACGGAGCACAATCAGAGTTCAGGTAAGCCACTACAACCATCTCCATCTTCTTTCTTTTTTGATTCCATAAGTCTTGCTAAGTGATTTATAAGGTTTCTGTTAAAGGTGCACATATCTGCTAAATGTCTTCCAAAACCTAGGGTCTTTGGCATCCGGGATTGGGATGTCTTTCTTTTTTCCACCCATTCTGCTCAGAATCGGTTTGATCATCTTCCTCAGTACCTTGTTAAACCCCAACCCACGTCTTTGATTGCTAAGTGATTCCATAAGTCTTGCTTAGTTCTCTCCCTCAGCCTTAGTTTTCTCCCTCAACTGTTTTCGGTTCCAATTATTAGTTTGGACTGGACAACGCCTGCGTTCTGGGCTGCAGGTTTTCTTAATATGTTACAGCACAAATAGAAAATTTTAGTTAAAAACAAACCCTGTTTTCTTAATATGTTTACAGCACAAATAGTAATTGATTTTTAGGGGGATTGTGCTTCTTGATAAATATTTGGTGTCTTTGCAGATACTTTATCTTTAGGGGGATTGTGCTTCTTGATTTTCTATGTGCCTTTATTTTTAATTCGTGGACATCTTGCCCAATTTTTGTTTTTTGTTTTTTGTTTTTGTAATTTTGTTGGCATTTGCAACAATATATTTGGCTTCTTCTTCTTCCTTAAAAATATGGTGAATGATTAGAGTGTACCTTTTACAGGCGTTGCTTTTCCATAGATTGGGAAGATCTTGGAGAAGGCCCTCGCACAAGGTAAAGTGGATGATGTAGGATTGTTTTTTTGTGTGCTGACTAAAAGTTTACCTTGGAGTAATCTCTTATTTGTGACACTCCTTGAAATTCTGGATATATTTTCTTTGAGTATCATATGCAAAAGTCAAAGTTGCCCAAAGTTCAGAGGATACATTGAATGAAGAATTGGATATGTATTTCGTATTTGCTACCCAAGAATATGACCGTTTGGATTGTTAATTACCCATTCCTAGCTAGTTCATGTGTTAGGTAGGTGAATGATGGGGATTAGTAGTGAGTTTATCTAATTTTTAAGTGATAGTTGATGGCAGACCTAGAGTTTGTCTAATTACCCATTCAACTCATATTATATAAGCCCACCTTTTAAAACTCAATTGCTTCCCTTTATTATTTATTTTTTTTAATAACTAGTATTATCATTATGAATGTTGAGATAACTCTGTATGTGTATCGCCTATTCCGAGCTCACACATTATCATGCGTTAATGCATATTCTTTTGTGTTAAAGTAGAATACTGTTTTTGGAATAGTTTGGATTGACAACTTATCTCATATTGCTTAGTGTTTGACATTTCTTTTGTAGTTCAAATATTTTGGATTAACTATAGAGATCAGATCAAGGGTGCTTAGTTCGGTATGTTTTATATCCTCCTTTTAAATAAATTTTTGATTAATTTTACTTACTTTCTTTGTATTATTTTCGGATGACATTAGGTATGGACAAGAGTTGGATAGATTTAAATGACAGGTCATCTGACCAATTTAACTATGGGCTTGAACATTTTTTGGAGTTTGCATTTTATAACAACAAGGGTCATACAAGGATTTATTGTCCTTGCAAAAAATGTTACAATCGGTACTTTGTTACAAGGGAAGTAGCAAAAGCTCATATAATAGTTGATGGGTTTATGCCAAATTATAGAAATTGGATTCATCATGGAGAAACAAACCAACCATTATATTCAGAACAAGGTATTGGGAATAACACTCCATCAGCTTTTGTTGATGATATGTTTGGAATGGTATAAGAGGCATTTGGCCATTCAAATGTGGATCCTAATATGGAGAATGATCAGTCAACAGAAAATGAACACAGTGAGGGGCCAAATGATGAAACTAGAAAGTACTTCAAATTGCTACAAGATGCAGAATGTCCTTTGTATTCGGGGTGTGAAAAGTTTACTAAATTGTCATTCATTGTTCGGCTATTACACATAAAGGTACTTGGTGGATGGAAATGACAATCTTGTTAAATTTTCTGAAAGAAGTTTTTCCCAATATAGACGTACCAGACTCTTATAATGATGCTCGAAAGATTACGGAGGACCTGGGCTTCACATACGAGACATGGGATGCATGTCCTAATCATTGTATGTTGTTTAAAAATGAGGATAAGGAGCTTGAATCATGTGGCATCTGCCACACATCCAGATACAAGAAATTTGAAGGCCAAATTAACAATGGTGTGAGTGGGGATAGAAAAATACCTGCTCAACAAGTAAGATATTTTCCATTGAAGCCAAGATTGCAAAGACTTTTTATGTCATCCAAAACTGCTTCGCTTATGAAATGGCATGCTGAGGAGCGTATTAATGATGGTGTGCTAAGGCACCTTGCTGATACACCTGCATGGAAAGCTTTTGATGCTAAGTATCCAGATTTTACTAGTGGAATTCGTAATGTCAGACTTGGTCTAGCATCAGATGGTTTCAGCCCATTTAGAACAATGTTCAAACCTCACAGTACATGGCCTGTTATTCTAATGCCATATAATTTGCCACCATGGATGTGCATGAAGCAACCATTCTATATCTTGTCTATTCTGATAGATGGCCCGCATGGACCTGGTAATAAGATTGATGTATATTTACAACCACTGATTGACGAGTTAAAGGAATTATGGCAAGAAGGTGTACTTACTTATGATGCCTCGATGAATCAAATGTTTAAACTACATGCTACATTACTTTGGACTATCAATGACTTTCCGGCATATGGGAACTTATCAGGGTGGAGCACTAGAGGTGAAAAAGCATGTCCTTGTTGCAATACAAAAACACTCGGTCTCGTTGGTTAACTTACGGAAGAAAGTATTGTTACACAGGTCACCGTCGATTTTTACCTACAAGTCATAAGTTTCGAAGAGATAAAGTGTCTTTTGATGGCACACGAGAATGGGGACGTGCTCCACAAAAAATTTCAGGTATTGATGTGAAAAGACAGTTGCTAGGAGTACTTACAGAGTATAAGAAAGATGATCTTAGAAAGAGGAAAAGAGATGAAGTTGGGAGTAATAATCATCGATCATTTTGGAAGAAAAAAAGCATATTTTTTGAGTTACCGTATTGGGAGCATAATTTGATTCGTCACAATCTCGATGTCATGCACATTGAAAAGAATTGTTGTGAAAATATCCTTTGGACAATATTGGGTGTTGCTAAAAAAACTAAGGACAATTTGAAAGCTCGACGTGACTTAGAAGAAATGGGCATTAGGAAACCATTGCACCCTCAGCAACGAGGTTCTAATAAGGCATACTTAGCTCCTAGTTGTTTTACTATGACTAAAGACAATAAAGATGTGTTCTTAAAAGTCTTGATGCAAGTAAAGGTTCCAGATGGTTATGCTTCTAATATTTCTCGACATGTACACATGAAGGAGCGGAGTATTTGGGGTCTTAAGAGTCATGATCATCATATATTAATGCAACAATTACTTCCTATAGCAGCACGCAGAGCATTGCCTAAGAATGTTGTTGAAGCATTGATTGAGTTCACTAATTTCTTCAGACAACTTTGCTCGAAAGTGAACGTGCAGTCTGATCTGGAACATATTCAAGAGCGAATTGTGCATACACTTTGCCATTTTGAGAAGATTTTTCCAATGTCTTTCTTTGACGTAATGGAACATTTGCCTATCCATCTAGCTGAGGAAGCATTGGTTGCTGGGGCTGTCCAATTTAGATGGATGTATCCTATTGAGAGGTTAGTAAAATTGTAGTTGTAATTTTTATTACATTAACTACTTTCATTAGATTATATTTTAATTATAATACACATAGGTACTTATTAACACTGAAGTGTTATGTGCGTAATCGTGCGCATCCTGAGGCCTCCATTGCCAAGGGTCGCTTAATGGAAGAATGCATGACTTTTTGTGCCCGATATTTGAATGAAGTAGAAACAAAGCTTACTCGTCCAGCTCGTAATGATGATGGTGGTAGTGACTATGGTCGTCCGCTCACCAAAGGAGTTAAAATACGTCTAGATGAAGTTACATGGACACAAGTACATAGGCACGTGCTAGTCAACACAGATGCTATCACACCATTTCGAAAGTAAGTGAAAGCACAATTATATTTATTACTTTGAATGCTTCTTAATTCACTTCTTTCTGAACAAATCTCATATACACAGCCAACACCTTGAAATACTTGCATTGGAAATGCCTCGTAAAACAAGTCATTATATCAGAAGAGTTCACACTGAGACATTTCACATATGGTTTAAAAATTATGTAAGTACTTACAATCATTAGATCTATAAATTTAATGTAGGCCAATCAAATTAAAATTTTCTTCTCTCTGACTTCTTTATAATAATGATATTTATATAGGTTGATACACAGCGGCTAACTAATAATGAAGTATTTTCTGAAGACATCATCACTTTGGCTAATGGTCCTGACCAATTTGCACGAAGATATAAAGGTTATGTCATTAATGGCTCCAAATTTCGTACGAAAGAAAGCGAAAAAAGTAGAACCACTCAAAATTCTGGTGTTGTATCGAAAGCAGACACTATGAGCTATGCTACTGTTAAGGACAAAAGGCCTTGCTCAGGTGATGTCACCTATTATGGAGTGTTGAAAGATGTGGTTGAAATCCGATATACCAATGCCTTGAAATTTGTTTTGTTCAAGTGCGATTGGGTTGATGCAATTGGTGGAATGAAAGAAGATGAGTTTAGATTCACATTAGTGAATTTTAATCATCTGTTATACAAAGATAATGTTGTAGGGGACGAGCCTTTCATTTTAGCACGAGATGCAAAGCAAGTTTGTTACATACAGGATCCAATTGATTCAGATTGGCATGTTGTTGTTAATGTGACTGTAAGAGATATATTTGATATGCGTTCAAAGGATTCTTCCCACACCCCAACAATAGTGCCTCAAGTAGAGCTCTATGCACCCCAACAATTGGATGAAACTGTATTTATGAATGATGAAGATGTTGGTTGGGTCAGGGAAGGAGTGGATGGAGCAACCGTAGACACAAATGTTGAAGAAGTTGATGATCCTCCTGAAAATGAGATGGAAGAATGATTGGCCATATAGTGTATTAGTTAGTGATTATCTTGGAAATTCTTGTTATCATGTGACACTATTTTGGAAATTCTGATTATATTAGTTACTTTATTACTTCTAATTGACTATGTTTATCAATGCATGTCTTCTTAAAATAGCTTATATATAAATATGTTAGATTAATAATCGTGCACAGGGAGTAGCATTTGATAAAGGTACTTGGTAGGTACTCGGTTACATATTATGAATTATTTACATCAATCTTTTATGATGATTCATCGTGTGTGTGTACTAATTTTTTTAGTGCAACAGAAAATGGCACCAAAAGAGGGAAGAGGCAAAGCAATGGAGGAATTGATTCCCCCATCTCCAATGAGAGCTAAAATGGGTAGGTCACAAGCACGACCATCTCAGCAGTGTGGACAAAGTTCGAGTCAGCCTCGGTTATCTAGGCCATCTCAGCATATCACATTGAATCAAACTCAACAACAGCCACCAATTACAAGGCGCACACAGTCTCAATTAGAGACACAACTACAACAAAATCCATCTGCCTCTAGTTGTGGGGATGAGCCTTTGGCAACTCCATTAAATAAAACAGGTTTGTGCTAAAGGACCATTAATTTTTCTAGTTTTTTATTCAATCATTCAAATTATATTTTGCTTATAATGAATAATTTATAGGTGAAAATCAATCTGAAGGTATTAGGAAGGGTCGAGGAGCTGCTCTTTCTATCTCAGAATGGGGAACTGGAACAAAAGTTCATATTGATTTTGATTCTAAATGGAAGCCAATCAAAGAAAATGCAACCAGGTTTAGTGGACAACTTGGAATTATAGCAAGAAATGGTCAAAGGGTTCCTCTAACATATGTTTCATGGACTGAAATGCCTGATCATGTATTAGATGATATTTGGAAAGAAGTCACGGTAAACAACACTTACAAAATTTACTAATTTTACTCAGATGCACAAGTCTTCATTTCATTAATAGTTATCATCTAATAATTGCAGGATAACACAGATGTCCCTGATGCATATAAATTTCATTGCTTAAAGGTTATTGGCAATAGATGGAGGGATTGGAAGTGTCGGGTTAAGCAAAGATGGTATGACGCATACTTGACCGATGAACAACGATTATCCTTCACTCCTCCTCAAGTCACTACAGATCAATGGAAGACACTAGTAAAGTATTGGGGCCTCCCTAATATAAAGGTAAATTAGGAAAAATTACATTTTAAGTTTATAATAGTGATGAATTATGGTTGCTTTAAACATGTGTAGGAATATTCTGAGGCAAATAAGGCTAATCGTGCACATGGAGGTGCTCCTCATCGGACTGGTCGTACTTCATTTGCTCAATTGAAACATGAGGTCAGAACACTAGTTTTGCAGTGAGTAATAAGTGATAATAATTAACAATAGGACTAATACTAATAGAAGCAGGGGATGTATATATATAAACCATGCTGGAAAACTGGAATGGTATCATTTGTACCAGGTCCAATTTGAATACGGCATGATGGAAATGCTGGAAAGTTTTTATTTTCTCCATTTAACAATTTTCATTACTAACTTGATTAAACATTGTGTGCTCTTAAGATGAGAGAGAAGGGAGAGAAAACGGATCGGTTGAGCATGTTTATAAAAACAAGAACAAAGAAAACAAAGAATGATGACAGAGACCTTTTCGATGAGGAAAGTGGCCACATTATTGTAAGTATCAGTTAGGTTATATATTTTTCACTCAAAGTAAAACTTTGCATATTCACATCGTTTTGATTAGTTGGGTTGTGCATTATTTTTATCTTTTGGTCATTTGAATTGGTTGGGTCATGTTTGTAGAATCAATTTAATCAATGCTTGGAAGAAAGGGAAGAGCATGAGCAAGACGAGGATTATCGAGATGGAGGTGTTTACTAGAGTTATGGGACCTGATGCATATGGACGTGTTCGCATGTATGGAACAGGTATAACTCCATCTCAAGTGTTTTGTCAAAGTTCAAGATCTTCCAATGTTAATGAGGACACCATACGAGAAGAGGTAGAAAGACAATATAAGACTAAGATAGATGATCTTAAGGCTAAGCATGAATCTGAAATTGAAGATCTCCGATCCAAGTATAGTGAAGTCAGTTCGAAACTCCATCTCGTGATGACTCATATTGGTTTCCATGTTAAACACATCACCAAGTGGAAGTGGACAGGTATATACATTCGAATGTGATTTTGTTCTCTTTTCAATTTATTAGAATAAATTAGTGTGAAAATTTGAGCAATTTTGATTTCTATTTGTCGTGTTGGTGTTAAATATAGGCTCCAAATACATCAAGCCATCTACAAGAAACATATGGGAGTAATGAGCAACAACCTCAGTTAGAACCAGAACCATAGAAACAATTGCTTCATAAAAGGTTTGTAAAGAAAACATTATACTAAAGATTAAACTTTTAATTGACACATGTTATTGATGGCTGTGTAATTCTTATTTTTCAGGTTTGCATGGAGATTGTGATGAAGAGTCTTGATCATAATTAAACTCTTGAATATGTTGGAGCATATTTGAAAAAAAAAAATTATGTTCATAACTTTTGAGACGAGATTATATATATTTGACTCTAGTAGGATTATATGTATTGGGATATGCGGATGGTGTACTTTCAATGTTATTAGGAATTCTAAAAGCATAGTTCTTTGATTCATATATTATTTTACTTTTGAACTTGGGATGATTGTGAATAAGATTATAAATTGCAAACTAATCTTTCATTGAACAAATATCATTTCCAACCATTTTGTATTTATAACAAAAAAATTGTAGGGATAAAAGCACTTACGACGTGTCAAACATGTCCCAAATATTTTGTTTAATTCCACCATCAAAGCCATTGCGACGCTAACTATTGTGTCGCAAAGCTGTCGTAAAAGAACTTCGCGACGCTTGAAATGTGTCGCAATAAGTTGTGAAAACTTTTGCGACATGGGTTTGTTGCGACGCAATCACAAGTGTCGCATGAGCGTCGTTAAAACGCATAAACGACGCTTTCATGACTTAACACGACGAGTTTTTAGCATCGTATTTAGCAAGTTTTTTTGTAGTGACATAAGATTTTCACCGTTGATTGTCAACTGGAAAATAATATCATGTAAGAACAGAAAAGGAAACTACAAGCATATCATGGGACAAAACATGGCAACCTCTTCTTCTACTTGTTGGATGGAGCCATCAGCAGTTTGAAGCCAGATGTAAGATTTCATCTAATTGCACAAAACATAAGGAAATTCAGGAGGGAGTCAAAAGAGAAACACAACGGAGACTCCTATATCATCTTAGCTTGAACTACCACACATGCAACCCACAGAACCAATAACCCCAGGTGTGGCAGTCCTAGCCATATCTTCTATTTATTTTCTACACTGCTTATACTGACCACTATGCACCAGCCTTTGTAAAGAAATTACAACTCTCCATTTACATTCCACCAAGAGTTAGTCTAGAAACAAACTACTTCTTCCAGCTATATCACGATTTGGAGTCTCTGCGCGGTTGTTTCCGGCACGTGACTCCATCAAAGAAGGAGGCGCCCTCGCACGTGCTAGTAGTTAGGGTTTCGGACCTTTCGGACTTGGATGGAGGAGGTGATCGGCCCGGCTAGTGTTTGGGCGGCTCGGGTAGTGAGATGCCCAGTATCACGTGGGTTGGGTGAGGTTTTGGTAAAATAGGCCACGCCCACAGTGATTTTTCTCCTCGTTTGTTTTATTTTCGTGGACTCTTCACCTTTGTCATATATTTCATGCATGGCACTGATTTTAGGTGGGATCGGATCGGAAAAAAGCATTCCAATTTTAATTTAAAAAATTTCGAAATCAAATTATAGTTCTAATTCGAAAATCGGAATTTATGAAAAATTTGAAATCGTTTTATCTCATAATTCGGATCTCTTATATTTTTGCAAGACTTTGGAAATTTTCAAATTTTTATATATCCACTATTCAATTATTTTTTTTCCAAATTTTTGTGATATTTGCATGTCATCACAGGTGTGTATGACGTAAAATCATATTAGACAAGATAAAATAGTACGTATGATAATATGTACTCTTCGTTTTTAATATATAATAGCATGATTAAAACACATAATATGATACGGTCTAGTGATATTCCTCATCACTGGTAAGTGAGAGGTCTTACATTCGATTCTCATCAAAGGTGAATTTGAACCATATTATTGCTAGCCCATTGTGAGGTTAAATCCACTCCCTCCCCTTAGTGTAGATAATATCAATTGTTCAAAAAAAAAAAAACACATAATATGAAATAAAGAATTCCAACCTACTGAAAATGATACGATACCAAACAATTTCAACAAGCTATGTCCACAATTGCCACTAGTACTACGGTCTAGTGATATTTCTTTTCGTTTGTAAGTGAGATCTTAGGTTCGATTCTCGCCAAAGGCGAATTTAAACCATATTATTGCCAGTTCATTGTGAGGCTAAACTCAACTTCTTCCCTTGAGTGTAGATGATGTCGCTTGTTAAAAAAAAAAAAAAAAAAAAAAAAAAAAAGAAGATGCTATGTCCACAACTAGAAACAGTGTACAAGACGGTGGAGTTTGCTCAAAAAAATCAAATCCAAATTACAAGATAAACCCAAATAAGTGAAATCGTGAACAACAAATTAGTGAATAAGATGATGATTATTGTGCTAATTAAATTGACCTTTCCAAACTTTGTGTCCATAAATTAGACACGAAAGAGAAAAGAAAAGAACACTTCAACTAACTGTCACTATAAACTACACTTTGAGACTTTCCCATCTCTTTGCTGCAGAGGGAGAGAGAAGAAGAAGATGTGGTGCTTCAGAAGAAGGGGGCCATCTGGGTTCTCATCATCTTCCACAGCAGAAGAAGTTACTCAAGGGATTGATGCCACTGGTCTCACCGCCATTGTTACAGGTGAGGGAACTTCTATTTGCTGCTTCTTTCTTTAAGTTTGATATGCAGATGGTATACTTTCTTCAACTATTTTTCCTTGTTCTTATGGGAACATGCTCTTTGGTTCTGCATATTGATGTTGCAGGAGCATCTAGTGGTATTGGCACCGAAACTGCACGCGTTCTTGCACTGCGTGGCGCCCATGTGGTTATGGCAGTGAGGAACATGGCTGCCGGTAAAGATGCAAGAGAACAAATAGTGAAGGCAATTCCCAGTGCCAAAGTTGATGCCATGGAATTGGATCTCAGTTCGTTATCATCCGTTAGGAAATTCGCCTCGGATTTCAATTCCTCTGGTCTTCCTCTTAACATCCTAATGTAAGTAATGGACAAAAATGTTTCAAGTTCTTGAATAGGCTTAGTTCGTAAAATCCACCTCCGGTAATAATAGCTTGTCTTTTCATAAGTAACAATGCAGGAGTGGCAACCCCTTTCACGCTTTCTAAAGACAAGATCGAACTTCAGTTCGCGACAAACCACGTAGGTATGTTGCATTTGTTACTCAGTAAAACCGAAAGTTTAAAGTACAAACAACAACAACTAATCATTTTTCACTTAGTGGGGTCGGCAGTATGAATCTTAGAACGCCAGTGACATTTTACGAAAGTATTGTTGGTTAAGATGCCCTAATTGACTGAATGTTACTTCCAGTTTAACTGTAGCCAATCTAGTTTTAGACCTTCTTTTAACAGTCGGTGTCGGAGCATATGCATCGATAAACTTGGCCAACCGTTCATAATTCTTTGATTCGGAGGGGTTAATTTGTATCTTTTTGGTTTTGTTCCTGATTCTGCAGGTCATTTTCTTTTGACAAATCTTTTGTTGGATACTATGAAGAAAACAGCACGCAAAAGCGGCAAAGAAGGGAGAATCGTAAATGTGTCCTCAGAAGGTCACCGCTACCCGTATCCTGAAGGAATTCGTTTTGATAAAATTAACGACCAACAAGGGTAACATTGAGATGATTCTTAGTTATTAGTTACGTGTTACCGCAAGAGTCATGCATAAAATTTTGATTAAATACGGAAGGAGCTTACGCAACAAATAAGTTTGGATTTGGATTTTGATGCCATATCAGTACTTCTGCCTATCTGCAGGTACAGCAACTTTCGTGCATATTGCCAATCGAAGCTTGCTAACATTTTGCACGCTAATGAGCTTGCAAGACGCTTAAAGGTAATCAGCAACGTTAAACCAGCAGAATCGTGATTCTGAAAATACCCGCTTGCATACATCGGTTCACTATGTCTGTACTTTTATGTGCAGAGATAAACACACATTGTGTGTTGATTGAACTCCGTTATTTGTGATTGTTCAACAGGAAGAAGGAGCTGATATAACTGCAAACTCGCTTCACCCTGGTGCAATTGTTACCAATCTGTTTCGTTATAACAGTGCTATTAACGGTAAATCACTTCGCTAAACCAACTAAGGGAGTCTTATTTAAATGTAGAATTCGGATATAAACTGCATACTATCGCTTGTTGAAGAGGCTTTGTGTTCAGTGTATGTTTAAAGTTTAAACCGAACCAAAATTGACGTCTATCTACAAATCTCAAATTTACACATTCACTATCTATGTGCTTAGTTTCGGATAATCAGACGTTTGGTTTTCTGGTTTGATGCAGGGCTTGTTAAGGTGCTTGGTAGAGCTGTGCTTAAAAATGTTAAGCAGGTAAGTTACATCTGCATGAACCTCTAGAGCAAACAACATACCAAGCGAATTTGAGTAATTTGAAATATGATGAACTTTCAAATAGTCGTTTAAACGTAGAATGTCGTGTTGTTTATTAACTTTGTCTATTACAGGGAGCGGCAACGACGTGCTATGTGGCACTGCATCCACAAGTCAAGGGGGTGACGGGCGAATATTTTCGGGACAGTAACCTATCCAAGCCAAGTCGACAAGGTCAAGATGCGGAGATGGCAAAGAAACTATGGGATTACAGCATGGATTTGACTAAATGATCTTCTAAAAACTTAAACTCTATATAAAGACTTAAAAGAATGCGCTTTGCGCTGTTCTGTTCTAAGATTTATATAGCCGATCTCACTTGTTGGGATCATGCTTAGTGGTGGTGGTTTGTGGTGAATAAACTCCTTTTTTCTGCTCGAACCCTTGTCGTTTTGATTCGAGATTACTTTTCGTTTGATATCTTGTATCAAGTTTAGGAATTTCATCTTCGAAACAAAATGCCGTTGTTCGGGTGCTTATTGATGGACTGATGACAAATTCACTTGATATTCGTTACGAAAAGACCAGAGAAGTTGAAGAAGTAAAAGAGAGAACCATGCAGTAAGATTTCTTCGTTACACTTGAGTGATGATGTACACTACATACATAATGACGATGATACAACAAAACAGGTAGTGCAAGACAGCATTATACTATGTTAAACATAGATGTCCAACCTACTGAAAATATCACAAGGCGGAACAATTTCAACAAGCTATGTCATTTTTAATATATAATAGTATGATTAAAATACAATATGAAATGAAGAATATCTAAAATTAAGAATAAACATGATAAAATAAGAATATGCATGCTATATATATATATATATATATAGTACTAAGTTTGAGAAATTTCGGATCTAATAGGTATATTCAGATGTGATCAAAAAATTTCAGAATCGAAAATATTCAAACTAAGAATAGAAATTTTCGATTTAGATTGGAAATTTTCAATCAAACTTTTGTTGTGCCTTGGCCCGTTCGTTAATGCGGAAACGAGATTCAGATTACAACCTCACCAAATCACACTCAGTTGAACAGAATAAAATATAAGAAATAAAGTCACCGAGAAATTTACGAGATTCAACAAAAACATGCTTACGTCCCCGAAGAGATATTGCTCTTCACTATGAATAACAGTACAAGTACACATGAGTTAAATCAACATAACTCAATCCCAAATCCCTTGCACACCCACTCATAGAATTTTCCCAGGAGCCTCACTCTACCCCAAGAGTTCTTTCATTAGAATACTTTTCACTCTAGCTCTCTTGATTTTCTCTCAACCCATGTTCAACCTTTCCCATGAGAGAGCCTAATGCTCTCTCCTTGGATGCTTCTATGATGCTTACCTTCCCACTTTCTAAGCATTACTAAATGCACAAACATTGCATCTAGTTATAGGCATATACTAGCAACTATGCCAACAACCAAGACCAAAAAGTCTTAAGTTAACATGACATAATCATCATCTAGCATACTTAGCATGCACCAAAGTCTATACCTAGTCTATAAAGTATAACTTTGCTTGTGGTAGTCATCATGTCTTCAATTGTTGTCAACACATGACTCATAATTACTCACAAATGTATGAGCCAAACACAACAACTTTCACCCCTAAGTAAGAGGGAACAAAAACAGAATCTTTATTTTATCTGTTTTTATAGATGTTTTTTTTAATAGTGTACTTACTATTATATCCTCTTTTTTTTTTTTTTTTTGCTCAATAATGTAAATTCTTGCATCAAAAACCTGACTAAATTAAATATAATTGATATCTAAGAATTTTACAGTTAATTTCATCAAGCATTTTGTAATAAAATATTACACATGTCGTACTATGATGTTAAGATGCAAGCTGTGGAATAGTATTGGTGTGGTTAGTATTGAATTGTTAACATGTCCCTATAAATTGAGCTCGATTGACCCAGAGTTTAAAACCGCGAAGTCCCAAATTGAAACTGAACTAGTTCGGGTCTTCGGTTTGGTTTGTTTGTTCTAAAACATTTTAACAAGAATTGGAACGAGGCAAACCGAATAAATCTTATTAGTTTAGTTTTCAATTTTGAGGATAAACTAAGCCGAACATAACCAGGTTCAACCTATTAAAAATGTCACAATGCCAAACAATTTCAACAAGCTATGTCAATAACTAGAAACATTGTACAAGACGGTGGAGTTTGCAAAACAAAATTAAATCCAAATTACGAGATAAACCCAAATAAGTCAACTCGTGAATAATAAATTCTTGAATAAGATGATGATAGTTGTGCTAATTAAATCGACATTTCCAAACTTTGTGTCCAAAAATTAGACACGAAAGACAACATGGGCTATAGAGGATCCACCGAGGCACCCACCACCAAAGCAAAGAAAATAACACTTCACCAAAACTGTCACTAAAAACAGCACTTCGAGACTTTCCCTTCTCTTTGCGTGCAGAGGGAGAAAGGGAGGGAGAGGGAGAGAGGGAGAGAGGAGAAGAAGATGTCGTTCTTGAGAAGGAAAGGGCCATCTGGGTTCTCATCATCTTCCACAGCAGAGGAAGTTACTGAAGGGATTGATGCCACTGGTCTCACCGCCATTGTTGTTGGAATTAAATAGAATTCAGTTTTTGTTCAAGTGTTTAAGAAGGAAGAAATCAATAGAAAAGTGTATGTCTAGTCTCATAAGACAAGTGTATGCTTTAGATCTTTGTTTTGAATCAAGGGCTGAGATTGCTCTAGATTAGCTTGTAAGGAAATATCCTAAGTTGATATTTATTGAAATATCTGTGATTACTTCACAGATAAGAAACCTTTCACATTCCCTCCCCCGATTTTGTTTTCTCTGTTTTCATTTTCTTGTCTGCCTCCAGGAACCAAACTAACTCACCAGAATTTATCATGGCCTCAGAGCTTAGGTTCTGATCAAATTCAGGACTGGGCGTTTTGTGTGTGTGCTTCGTATCTCTGAAAAGAAAAGGGGAAAAACATATACCCAGATCGTGAAAATCTCATCTGTTCTTACAAAGCCTCACATGGTTACTTCGAGCAGTGGAGGAGATCTGAGGGCTCCTATTTTCAATGGGATCAACTACGATTTTTGGTCCATCAAGATGAAGACCATATTCAAATCACATGATCTCTGGAATTTGGTGGACAAGGGTTATGAAACTGTAGAAACTGAAAATGATTCTAGCGATGAAGATCAACAGTCTGTGAGGAAGATAGCAATGAAAGTTAATGAAACAAGAGATGCAAAAGCTCTTGGTATCATTCAAGGGGCAGTGTCTGATGAGATCTTTCCTCGAATCTCAAACTTTGAAACCTCCAAGACTGCATGGGATGTTCTTCAACAAGAATTTCGTGGTGTGATAAAAAGGTTAGGTCTGTCAAACTACAATGTTTAAGAAGAGATTTTGAGTACACTAGGATGAATGATGGTGAAGCTCTATCTGTTTATTTAACAAGATTGACTGATATTGTGAATCAAATGAAAACTCTTGGTGAAGAACTGACAAATCAAAGATTAGTGCAAAAGATACTTATTAGCTTGCCTAAATCTTATGATTCCATTGCATCTATTATAGAAGAAACTAAAGACCTTGACTCCATTGAGGTTCAAGAAGTGATTGGTACATTGAAAGGCTATGAGCAGAGGTTAAATATGCATTCTGAAAACTTAGCTGAAAAGGCTTTTACTAGTCTAAGTGTGACTGAGAGAGATAGCAGTTACAGGGGTCAGGGGAGCAACTCAAATCAAAAGAAATTATGGAAAGGAAAAGGGAAGAAATGGGACAACAACCATACTTCACAATCAAAATCAAAATCTAGTAGTGAGTCTACCAAAACCAAGTGTAAAATCTGTGACAAATTACACTATGGTGTTTGCTGGTTCAAGGGAAAACCCAAATGCACCAAGTGTGACAGATTTGGCCATCTAGCAAAAGATTGCAATCCAAGAAGGAACCAAGTTGTCAACTATGCACATAGAGCAGAAGAAGAGGAAGTAAATGTCTTTTATGCTTGTAGTGTTGCAAAAACTGAAAACAAGAAAGGAATCTGGTATATTGACAGTGGATGCAGTAATCACATGACTGCATATGAATCCTTACTGATCAACATTGACAGAAGCTTCAATTGCAGAGTTAAAATGGGGAATGGACAACTAGTGGAAGCTACTGGAAAAGGAACTCTTGTTCTAGAGACAAAGGGTGGAAGAAGATTCATCAAGGATGTAATACTTGTACCAGGTCTTGATGAGAATCTCCTTAGTGTGGGACAGATGATTGCTCATGGTTACTTCTTACTTTTTGGAGACAATATGGTGGAGATCTTTGATGACAGAAGCCTCCAAAACTTGGTAACACAAGTTGGCATGACAGAAAACAAAAGCTTTCCACTTATGCTAGATTACAATGATTCAATTGCTCTAAAAGCAAGTGTTGCAGAAAACTCTTGGTGATGGCATAAGAGGTTCGGACATCTCAACTTTCACAGTTTAAAGAGATTGGAGAAACTACAAATGGTGACTGGTCTTCCTGAGTTACAAGAGACTAAAGAACCGTGTGAAGGTTGCATACTGGGGAAGCATCACAGGGACTCTTTTGAAACTGGAAGTGCATGGAGAGCAAGTCAACCTCTAGAACTCATACATACAGATGTGTGTGGTCCAATGAAGACACCTACACTCAGTGGGAACAGATATTTTCTGCTATTCATTGATGACTGCACTAGGAGGGTTTGGGTATATCTTATGAGAAACAAGAGTGAAGTCTTTTCAATCTTCAAGAAATTCAAAATGATGGTTGAACTTCAGAGTGGTCTCAAGATCAAAAGACTAAGAAGCGACAGAGGTGGTGAATTCACTTCACTTGAGTTCCAAGAATTCTGTGAAGGAGCAGGATTACAGAAGCAATTGACAGTGGCCTACACACCACAACAGAATGGTGTGGCTGAGAGGAAGAACAGGATCGTGGTTGAAATGACCAAGTCAATGCTCCATGATAAGAAAATGCCACTTTCTTTTTGGGGTGAAGCTGTCAATACATCTGTGTATCTCCTAAACAGGTGTCCAACTAAAGCACTTGAGAAGAAAACACCGTTTGAGGCATTTAGTGGCAGAAAACCAAGTGTGAAGCACTTGAAGGTGTTCGGATCAATCTGCTATGCACAGATACCATCTCAACTACGACACAAGCTTGAGATCAATAGTGTCAAGTGTGTCCTTGTAGGTTATGGAAGTTGTGAAAAGGGCTATAGGCTCTACAATATTGAGTCACGTAAAGTGATTCTCTCAAGGGATGTGGTGTTCAAGGAGAATGAAGCATGGAATTGGGAAACCAATAACATAGACACTATCTCATTTCCACTAGCAATGGAAGAAGCACAAGCTGAAGTGCAAAATGTGAATGAACCTGTTATACAAGATGAGAGTCAAACTGATTTTTCAACTCCAACACAAGGATCTCAGTCCTCTACTTCAAATGCAAAAGGACAAGAATTACAGGATTCCTCTCCTGAAACAACTCCATCGAGAATGAGGAGTTTAAATGAGATCTATGCAGTGTGTAACTATTGTGTTGTTGAACCTGAGAGTTTTGAAGAAGCTGAGAAGGATCAATCCTGGCAGAAAGCAATGAGTGAAGAAATTGCCATGATTGAAAAAAACTCTACTTGGAAATTGGTAAATAGACCGAGTGATAAACCTGTGATAGGTGTGAAATGGATTTACAAGATCAAACTGAATTTGGATGGATCAATACAGAAGAACAAAGCAAGATTAGTTGCCAAGGGCTACTCACAACAACCTGGGGTAGATTTCAATGAAACCTTTGCCCCAGTGGCAAGGTTAGACACCATTAGAACCTTGATTGCTCTTGCTGCCCAAAAGGGATGGAAACTTCACCAGTTAGATGTCAAATCAGCTTTTCTAAATGGCATTTTGGAGGAAGAAGTGTATGTGGATCAACCACAAGGATTTGAAATGCCAAATAAAGAAGAGAAGGTCTACAAGTTAAACAAAGCACTGTATGGACTCAAACAAGCCCCCAGGGCTTGGTACAATGAGATAGACTCCTATTTCAGCAAGAGTGGATTTAACAAAAGTCCTAGTGAAGCAACATTATATACAAAAACTGGTGAGAACTCTGAGATGCTTATTGTGTCTATATATGTTGATGATGTGGTCTTTACTGGTAATTGTGAAGAAATGATTGAAGAATTCAGAAGGGAAATGATGAGACAATATGAGATGTCGGATCTTGGCTTGTTGCATCACTTCTTGGGAATTGGAGTAATACAAGAAACTACTGGGATTTTCATACATCAACAGAAGTATGCACAATCACTGCTTGAAAGATTCAATCTGAAAGGATGCAAATCTGTGGCAACACCATTGATCACGAATGAGAAACTTTGTAAAGTGGATGGTTCTGAATCTGCTGATGAATGCTTATACCGAAGGATGGTTGGAAGTCTGCTTTATTTGACTGCTACAAGACCTGACATTATGTATGCAGCCAGTCTCTTATCAAGGTTTATGCATAATCCCACGAGAATTCACATGGGAACTGCTAAGAGAGTAGTACTAAGGTATATCTCAAGGACCTTGGATTATGGAATCAAATATGAAAAGGGAGAAAAAGCAATTCTGGTAGGCTTCTGTGACAGCGATTGGGGTGGCAGTGAAGATGACATGAGAAGTACCTCAGGATATGCATTTACATTCGGTTCTGGGATATTTTCTTGGGCTTCTGTCAAGCAACAAAGTGTTGCATTGTCTACGGCTGAAGCAGAGTATGTGAGTGCTGCAATGGCTACCTCCCAAGCTATATGGTTGAGGTTTGTGTTAAAGGATTTTTGGTGAAATGCAAGTGGATGCTTCACCACTTATGTGTGACAACACATCAGCAATAGCTATGACCAAGAATCCTATTTTTCATCAGAAAACCAAGCATATCAAAAGGAAGTTTCACTTCATAAGGGAAGCCTTGCAGGAGAATACCATTGAACTGATCTACTGCAAATCACAGGATCAAATGGCCGACATCTTCACCAAAGCTCTACCGAGGGAAAGGTTTGTCTATCTCAGAGGAATGCTTGGGATCAAAACCAGAATTCATTTAAAGGGGAGTGTTGGAATTAAATAGAATTCAGTTTTTGTTCAAGTGTTTAAGAAGGAAGAAATCAATAGAAAAGTGTATGTCTAGTCTCATAAGACAAGTGTATGCTTTAGATCTTTGTTTTGAATCAAGGGCTGAGATTGCTCTAGATTAGCTTGTAAGGAAATATCCTAAGTTGATATTTATTGAAATATCTGTGATTACTTCACAGATAAGAAACCTTTCACATTCCCTCCCCCGATTTTGTTTTCTCTGTTTTCATTTTCTTGTCTGCCTCCAGGAACCAAACTAACTCACCAGAATTTATCAATTGTTACAGGCGAGGGAGTTTTCGTTTGCTTCTTCTACTTTTTTTTTCAACTATTATTATTTGTTCTTATGGGAAAATTTTCTTTGGTTCTGCATATCCACGTTGCAGGAGCATCTAGTGGTATTGGCACCGAAACTGCACGTGTTCTTGCACTGCGTGGCGCCCATGTGGTTATGGCAGTGAGGAACATGGCAGCCGGTAAAGATGCAAGAGAACAAATAGTGAAGGCAATCCCCAGTGCCAAAGTTGATGCCATGGAATTGGATCTCAGTTCGTTATCATCCGTTAGGAAATTCGCATCGGATTTCAATTCCTCCGGTCTTCCTCTTAACATCCTAATGTAAGAAATGGACAGAAACGGTACAAGTTCTTGAAGAGGCTTTGTTCATAAAATCCACTTTAGGTAATAATACTCGTCTTTTCATAAGTAACAATGCAGGAGTTATGGGAACCCCTTTCACGCCTTCGAAGGACAAGATCGAACTTCAGTTCGCCACAAACCACGTAGGTATGTAGCATTTGTTACTCTGTAAAACTGACAGTTTAAAGTACAAACAACAACAACAACAGCAGCCAACCCTTATCGCACTAAGTAGAGTCAGCTGTATGAATCTCAGAACGCCATTGACAGTTTAAAAAGTATTTTTGGTTAAGTTGTTCTAATTAACTGAATGTTTCTTCTAGTTTAATCTGTCGCCAATCTAGTTTTAGAACTTATATCTCTTGGTGTCGGAGCATATGCATCAATAAACTCAGCTAACCTTTCATCCTTCTTTGATTCGGGAGAGTTGATTTGTATCTATTTGGTTATTTTCCTGATTTTTCAGGTCATTTTCTTTTGACAAATCTTTTGTTTGATACTATGAAGAAAACAGCACGCAAAAGCGGCAAAGAAGGGAGAATCATAAATGTGTCCTCAGAAGCTCACCGCAACCCGTATCCTGAAGGAATTCGTTTTGATAAAATTAACGACCAAGCAGGGTAACATTGGGATAATTCTTAGTTATTAGATATTTAGATAGTATTATATGCGTGTTAGCGCATGAGCCACACATAGGATTTTGATTAAAAGCGGGTGGAGCTTAAGCAAGAAAGTTTGGAATTGGATTTTGATGCCATATCAATACTTCTGCACAAGTTAGTCACGTAGTATATTTGTTTTCGGTTTGCTTCCTTCATTATAGCGTATGCTGAATGGAGGGAGATATACAAGTCCAATCCGATTTTGTGACTGCCCATCTGCAGGTACAGCAGCTTTCGTGCATATGGCCAATCAAAGCTTGCTAACATTTTGCATGCTAATGAGCTTGCAAGACGCTTAAAGGTAATCCGCAACGTTAAATCAGCAGAATCGTGATTCTGAAAATACGTCTGTACTTTTGTATGTAGAGATAAACACACATTACCTTATTTTATGTTTGGCAGTCATGGTGTATTGAGTGAACTCTGTTATTTGTGATTGTCCAACAGGAAGAAGGAGCAGATATAACCGCAAACTCGCTTCACCCTGGTGCAATTGTTACCAATCTGTTTCGTTATTACAGCATTATTAACGGTAAATCACTTCACAAAACCAACTATGTTAGTCTTATTTAAATGTATTCCGATATAAACTGCATACTATCGCTTGTTGAGGAGGCTTTGTATTCAGTGTATGTTTAAAGTTTAAACCGAACCAAAATTGACGTCAATCTACAAATCTCAAATTTACATATTCATTATCTACGTGCTTAGTTTCGGATAATCAGACGTTTGGCTTTCTGGTTTGATGCAGGGCTTGTTAATGTGCTTGGTAGAACTGTGCTTAAAAATGTTCAGCAGGTAAGTTACATCTGCTTGAACCTCTAGAGCAAACAACATACCAAGCGAATTTGAGTAATTCGAAATATGATGAACTTTCAAATAGTCGTGTAAACGTAGAATGTCGTGTAGTTTATTAACTTCGTTGATTACAGGGAGCAGCAACGACGTGCTACGCGGCACTGCATCCCCAAGTCAAGGGGGTGACCGGCGAATATTTCTCGGACTGTAACCTATCCAAGCCAAGGCCACAAGGTCAAGACGTGGAGATGGCAAAGAAACTATGGGATTTTAGCATGGATTTGACTAAATGATCTTCGCAAGACTTAAACTCTGTATAAATACTCAAGGGAGTGCCCTTTGTGCTGTGTCGTTTTTAGGGTCAACGCGTTCTAAGATTCATACAGTGTACTCTCCTTACTGGAATAACGCTTAGCGGTGTTTGTTTGTTGTTTGAATAATAGACTCCAAGAATGCTGTTACTTATAAATCAGAAGTCGAACAATATCCTTTCAAAGTGAATAAACTCCTTTTTTCTGCTCGTAACCTTTTCGTTTTGATTCAAGATTGCTTTTCGTTTGATATCTTGTATCAAGTATGGAAATTTCATCTTCGAAACAAAATTCCGTTGTTAAACATAGATGTCCAACCTATTGAAAATATCACAAGGCGAAATAATTTCAGCAAGTTATGTCAATAACTAGCAACAGTGTACAAGACGGTGGAGTTTGTTCCAAAAGATTTAAATCCGAATTACAAGATAAACGAAAATAAGCCAAATTGTGAACAACATAATTCATTTCAATCCTATCATTTTGGTGTCATGTGTTTAAATTTGAAGCAACGGTTATCTTACCAAATTAAGCCCCAGTTTGGGGTTGAGGTGATTTTAAAAAAAGCTCCTATGAAAAAAAGCTGGGAGTGTTTTTGGTGTTTGGTAAACTTAAAAAAAAGGGCTTATTTTGGAAGCTGCTGTGAGAATAAGCTGAAATCAAAGGAAAAAGCTGAAGCTGCAATTTGTAGCTTTGAAAAACTGGCTTTTTTTCAAAGCACACAGAACTACAGTGCTCCTTTAATGAAAAGATCCACTATCAGACTGCTTTTTTTTTCAAAAGCACTTTTACAAAAAAGTTTACCAAACACTCTGCTGATTTATTTCACAGCCGCTTATTCTCACAGCACAACCGCTTATTCTCACAGCAGCTTTTTTTCAAAGCACAGCAATACCAAACCAGCCCTAAGAATAAGACGAGGATAGTTGTTGTAATTAAATTGACATTTTCAAACTTTGTGTATATCTAAAGGGTGCTGTATAACACACCATTTTTTACTTGTCATGCATTCCTTTTAATTTTCGACCGTCAAATTAAATAAATTAAAAAAAATCAAATGATATAAAATAACAAAGATGTGTGTAGATAGTATCACCGTATCAAAAAATTGAGACACTAAAAACATGATAGACCAAAGAGGCTACAGCGAGGCACCCACCACCAAAGCAAAGAAAAGAAAAACACTTCGCCAAAACTGTCAGTAAAACTACATTTTCCCATCTCTTTGCGTGCAGAGAGAGAGAGTGAGAGCAGAAGAAGATGTGGTTCTTCAGAAGAAAAGGGCCATCAGGGTTCTCATCATCTTCCACAGCAGAAGAAGTTACTGAAGGGATTGATGCCACTGGTCTCACCGCCATTGTTACAGGCGTGGGAATTTCCATTTGCTTCTTCTTTCTTTAAGTTTGATATGCAGATGGTATGCTTTCTTCAACTATTATTCCGTATTCTTATGGGAAAATGCTCTTTGGTTCTGCATATTGATGTTGCAGGAGCATCCAGTGGTATTGGCACCGAAACCGCACGCGTTCTTGCACTGCGTGGCGCCCATGTGGTTATGGCAGTGAGGAACATGGCTGCCGGTAAAGATGCAAGAGAACAAATAGTGAAGGCAATCCCCAGTGCCAAAGTTGATGCCATGGAATTGGATCTCAGTTCGTTATCATCCGTTAGGAAATTCGCATCGGATTTCAATTCCTCTGGTCTTCCTCTAACATCTTAATGTAAGAAATGGGCAGAAATGGCATAAGAGAGAAGCATGCAGTTAGATTTCTTCATTTCACTTGAGTGATGATGTACACTACATACATGATGACGATGATACAACAAAATAGGTTGTTCAAGACAGCATTATACAATGTTACATATGAGCCCACAAAAAATCAGTGCCGAAAACAGAACGTGTAGGCTTCAAAAATCTCCCGACTGACTATTTCGTTAACAAGTCCGGCCCCGGCATAGTCTCCATCTTCTGTACAGCAGTTTCAGACCCAAAAAATTGTTCCAAAGCTAAATGGTATTTGCCTCTTAGCTTTTTCTTTTCCTTCTATATGAACATCTCAAAGAATATACATTTCTTGCTGCCTTGAGTTTCTTGCTTACCAGAGGAACTGCAATGGATCAGATCATCAGAAGCCATCCTCGTCGGCCAAAATCAAGCATATTTCATAGCTCCAATCAGTCAAGCACTCAATGTTCTACAAGTCAAAACCGCATCTATGTACTACAAGAGTATGTTATTTGTCAGGATGTGAGCTTGATATGCATAATTCCGGAATCCGTTCCATCTCATACGAGCCTGAACACTAAGCCATGCCATGCAAAAGAGTTGTCTGCTTCCAGCCACTAACTCTCCGGAGCTTCAACCTTATTCCGCTGTTCTTCAACTTTTGAGTTTTTATTGTACAAAATATACTTTCATCATGATGGATGGTTGATAATGGTCTGGTTAACTTGGGAGCTTGAACTGATTGATGGTTCCATCAAAACAAGTTAGACACCATTTGTGCGGTTCGGCAAAGGAGAGTTGGGACTTAAATCCAGTTTAAGGTTCATCTTAACATGATCCTTAAGGAGTTGGCGAGACACCCGATCAGCTAAAACTGATTGTCCATCATACTGCTCTGCGTGGGCATGCCTTACAAACTGCTTTCCCAGAACATCATTTTCGCAGGGTATCAGTTCCGAGAAGATATGAGATCCTGGCTGCTTCCCTCGAAACATGTCAGGACATGAATCATGATAGGACGAAGGACCATTGACATAAAGACCATTCGAGGGCTTTGAAATTCCTCCAAAACCCTCTTGCAAGTTGATGGACTGGTTCATGTGAATAAATGGAATGGCACCACTGCCACCTGTAAGAGGAGTGGATGAGCCCGAAGTAGTATGTGGGCTAGATATAGGTGAAGGTGACATTCTTCCATTTAGGTGTGGTGGTGACCTTGAGTGCAATAGAGGGCTTCCAATGGGTGAGACGGGGCATGATATGTTCCTGGGAATATGGATCTCACTGCAGTTCAGGCAAATAAGATCAAAATCTCATTATCAAAATGTTGTCGTATGCATCATCACAGATGTTGTCGTACACATCACCGGAGAGAAACATAGAGATAGATGGATATATACATAAATGTATGTGTGTGCGTGTGTGAGAGAGAGAGAGAGAGAGACCTGGTATGGTTATTAGTTTTTGAAACTCTAGATGAATGAATTGCAAGCCTATCTGAATCCAAGTTGGAGAAATTCCTTCCTTGCCCAATACCCTGACAATGATCAATAAAACACAACAGATGAAAATAAGAGGCAAGAAGAGAGGACCCGTGCAAATAACAGCTGCTTCATCAAAGTCCAATAAAGGATTCATAAATGTTTTTATACTTGATGAAACACAAGGAAAGAATTTCAATCCCTCAACGGATAGAGACACTAAAACACAGATTTCAACATCTGTATTCTCTCTACATATTGGGACTGGGTTGGGTTGTAATGTGAACTCATGAGTTCTTAGCACACATTTAGGAAATAACAGATATAGAACCTGATAGCATGCACTATGCTCAAACATAAATGAAAAAATGATCACAAAACTACCAACACCGTAAGACACCAATTTTACATTTGTGGTAAAAATGGAATTCATACCAGTGCTTTCACTCCATTTGTAATCCCAGAGGATGGATCAGAAGGCTCAGTGCTCAACATAGATCTTTCCAAAGGCGCAGCATATTTCACAAAAGGATGCTCCAAAAGCTGGGCAGCTGTAGGACGATGTAGTGGATTTCTCTGTAAGCATTGCCTTATGAAATCCTTTCCATCATCCAAGAGGCTATCTGGCATTGCTGGAAGTTCTTTGCTATTCCCAATCTTAAACATGGCAGCAACCTTTTAACCACAAAAAGAAAAATATTACACAATGTAAAGAATACTTGAACAGCCGCAATGATCTCAATCTCAAATTCAAATTCTTATAACCCCCAGCCCTACATCCAATAAATAAATAAATGTACAAAAGTATTTGTTTGTAGATAATAGATATATATTCTTACCCCTTCATACTGGCTCCAAGGTGGTTTTGTCGTAGCCATTTCCAAAACAGTGCACCCAAGACTCCATATATCCACAGCAAGGTTGGCACCGCTTGAGTTCTTTATAACCTGGGCAAGCAACCAAAATGAAGACCTAAGTAAACCCATCAAGAAGCATGTCATTGACGAGAAAAATAGAAAAAGTAGAAGCAATCTAACCTCAGGTGCCATCCAGTAAGGGCTTCCCTTAAATGATAACGGACATGACTGCCCGGTGATCTGAAAAGCACACAAGATAGTGGGTTATGGTTTGCAATATCATGTCAAACTCCTTTAATCATATCGAGATTAAGTATGCCTGCGCCTACATGCTTGGCCATCCCAAAGTCTGCCAACTTGACACGTCCATTTGGGTCTACAAGTATATTTGCTCCTTTAATATCCCTGAACATGAAAGATGCTTAATGTTTAGTAATTACATCACGATCAGTATATTACAACGGTTGAATTTATGCTTCAAATTACTTGATCAAGAATAGATAATGAATTTCACCTGTGAACAGTGTTTTTAGCATGTAAATATGCCAGCCCCGACAAGATTTGCTTAGTATAACTACGAATTGCTAGTTCGCCAAATTGCCCATAGTCTTGGAGAAGTTTATATATGGAGCCACCAGATACATACTCCAAATATATATATAGTCGGTCACCAACCTGTTATAGGAATGAATATCAGCATAAATTACTGTGGTTGCTTGAATCTTCAAATAAAAGTTAATTTTGCAGAAAATGTGGCTCTATGGGGTCCAATCTAGAGTGCGATGCTTAGCTTCTCCATAGACCAGTGAACTAACAACTTCTCAATGTGTAGAGATTAAGCTTCACTCATAAGTGATAACTAAGAAATGTAATATTGACAAAAAAGACAAATGAAAGATCGATATTTAAATGTGTACTAAAAATAATATATCATGGACAAAAGACTTACTGATTCAGACCCATAATATTGCACAATATTTGGGTGCCGTAAACGGCTCAATAAAGCAATTTCCTGTCAAAACGTTGCAACATAAGAGTCAAATAAAATAAATGAAGGAAAGCATATAACTTTTGTCCAAGGAAGGAACTTGAAACCTAAAACAAAATACCTGGTTTAATTGCTTAGCGCTTTCCTTTGACTTTGCATCATCAGAAAATAATGTGACCTCCTTCATCGCACACATTTCACCATTTTCACTGAACAAAGTTGGTAATAAAAAATCAGATGGGCATAAATTTCACATACAAGCAACCTATGAGAAAAACTAATTTATTGAGATAAAATGGATATTTTTTTTTTCTACACTTGGCCAAATCATCAAGCAAATATCATTCAGAACGTTCCATTAGCATTAGCTCCCTGAATTTTATATCCTTTAGAGTATTAACGGCTAAGTACTTAGATAAATGATTGCTTAGTTGTGTGAGAGAGAGAGAGAGAGAAGAGAGAGAAAAGAAATGTATTTGGGTATCTAGTATCTACCTATTAAAACCAACATAAACATGTCCAAAAGTCCCTCTACCCAGCAGCTTTCCCTTTTTCCAGCGTGAACCAGGGCTTGGTGGGTTCTCTGCCCTTCCCGGACTTCGTGGCACAGAAGGAGATGTTGCTGCTGAATTTGAATGAGAAAAAGGGGAAGCAATTGTAATTGTCGGGGGAAGAGGTAAACGGTGACTTTGTTGTTTCCCATCATCAGCCCAGCTTGTCTGTGTCTCATTGGGAGTCCCTCCTGCTCTAGGGTGAATAGGCGTAACAGCACCACTCTGAATTCTTGAGCCTGGCCCTGGGCTTGTCATTCTGGGACTAGGTACCGGAGAATACTCAGGGCTACCCCTGCTTTGTTGCCAAAACAGCGGTCCAGACATATCCCCTCCCATTGAATTATGCCCAGAATTGTGACCCGAACCTGGACTGGAGCAGTGGCCAGATCCAAGTAGAGTGACATCTGTATAAGTTTTTGCAGCCCAGAAAGCAGAGTTCACGACTTGCTCAGTGCCAAATGCTCTCACTGGGCTTCTAGAAGGACTTGACAATGAGCTGTCGGGAGCACTCCACAAAGCTCCATTATAAGGAACCTGTAGGTTTGGCACATGGCTGCCTAAAAGTCTCCATTTAGGCAATGTAGGGGAAACGTGATTACTGAAAGAAATGTTAGCTGATTTTTTTGGCTCTCTTGAGAGTACTGGAGCAACAGTGGATGACTGATCCTTGAGCATCACACTTCATAAAAATTGCAGAAAAAATGTCAGGGATGAGCAAGCTAAAAGAATTACAAATAAATCATGCGCAATCATGCATATTAAAAAAACATGCATACTAGTAGCATAGTGGCATGTGCAATAAATGAAAGCTCACCTGCAAGGGCTGCCAGCAGCCGTTCTAGGACCATTGTCATAGTCAGTTGCCTGAGGGCTACGATGGCATGATGAGTCAGCTGGATCGTCACTATCAACAGAGCTCTCACTAGAGACTGAATCAGTGACCATGTCTCCATCTACGTCTGTATGATTTGACCTACTACCGATGCACGCAGGTCTCGGGAGAGGTAGAAACGATAATGGCTTAGAGCCTTTTTCTGATCTCGGTTTTGTTGATATACTAATTCCAGAATTTGTACGAGCAACATGAGCAGGATGTAGACCAGGAAGTGGAAGTGGCTGAGCATTAGTCCTTTCAGCAAAACTTTGACATCTGGCAACATTTTTTGAGGGTGAAGGAGATCTTGATTCTATAGGGGATTGACATCCTTTTTCCGAAATTGTGTCATTGCAATTTCTTCGAGATCCTCCTGATCTATTATTCACTCTACTTTCTGAAGAAAACTTAAATTTCCGATGTAAAGAGTCAATGAAACTTTCCTTTCCTGCCTTCTTCTTTGCTTCTTTGGACGACGACTTCCCCCACCATGAAGGCAT